CAATTGAGTTCCAGGGAGGAGGCCACTCCAACAAAGCCATGGTACCTGAACACATTGTACACACACACACACACACACACACACACTCAGTAAGAGCAGAAAGTAAGGACCTGTTCTAATACTGATCAACCTCTCCTTAACAATATTTTATCGAGTCATCAACAGTGAAAAACCTCGGAAGCAGAACCCAGAAGACATTGGATGGGTTTGTAATGGTGGTTCAGTGTAAACAGTAACAATGCCAAAATAATAACTATATAAAGTGTGTATAATATGAAAGGTATGTAATAAGGAACGTTAATATGTATATAAATGTGAACGTTAACATGTAGTTTAAATGACCCATGAATAAAGTTAGATTTTGTTTGTGCTTTGTGATTGGTCAGTACGTGCGCGTGTCCTATGACACCAAAGCCGACCTGCTGCTGCACCTCATGACTAAAGAATGGCAGCTAGAGCTTCCCAAACTGCTCATCTCTGTGCACGGCGGCTTGCAGAACTTCGAGCTGCAGCCCAAACTCAAGCAGGTGTTCGGCAAGGGCCTGATCAAAGCCGCCATGACCACCGGAGCCTGGATCTTCACCGGCGGAGTCAACACTGGTGCGTTCGCTACTTCCGCTTCACTGCATTAATTGTGAAGGCAGATGACTTCTTTTAAAACCTCTAATGTTTTCATACAGGATTTCTCCTGGGGAGGATTTCAAACACATTCTATACTTAAAGTACATCCACCGTTATGAAGATGTTGAGAGACGTGAGCTGAGGGATTGGCAAACAGCTCTGAGTGAAATTTAATTATAACACCTGAGAGGCGGAGGTGGCTGAATGTCATTTAAGAAACATTTCATTTAGGCTTTTTAGAGAAAACTGTCAACTGCTGTTGCTTGTTATCAAGAACAGACCGAGGGACAGATAGATCAAACTCTTTGCAACTGTTTTTATGTGTAATCAGGGTGCATTTTGCATGAAAAGCCAAGATAGGACCAAAAGTCCAGGGGTGGAGCTGGATTTGATCCAACTTCTCCTATAAGCTTACCCCTAACCCTTAACCTCCTAACCCATGGAACACTGTTAACACACTTATTCAGCCTGAAACACTTTGGCTTTTGCCTTTTGGCTCGACTCTTCACAGGTAGGCGGAGCTAGATCAGGTCCAACTCTACCTCATGGGCTTTTTGTTCTGCAGCAAGGGATATTTGGAAACGCCTGTAGTCACAGTTAAAAACAGTGCAATTTTGTCACAGTAAAAAAAAAATGTGTTCACCAAAGAATGTTGATTTATAGTGTATAATACATAATCTGTGCCTGCTTTTAACCTGCAGGGGTTATCAGACATGTTGGTGATGCTCTCAAGGACCACGCCTCCAAATCTCGGGGCAAAATCTGCACCATCGGCATTGCGCCCTGGGGCATAGTGGAAAACCAGGAAGACCTTGTGGGCAAAGACGTATGTAATCATGCAGTCATAATTCTATGCTACATATACATATATCTTTTTTATTTTTTTTTTATTTTTAAGTTATGCTACATCATATTATTTTGGGGCTTAAAGGCAAGCAATTGTTTCCAAACACTACTGAAAAACCCTGTTTCAGACACTTCTACTATAGAAAGATCTGTCAAACTCAGAGGTGTGAACTACATGCAGATGATTTGCATAATCTGAATTGGGAGCCCAGAAGACTGACTTAAGCATGTGCATAACCCGACTCTGAATATGTGTAACTTTCCCAACAGAAATACTGAGATAGCTATTGGTCTTTAGTTGCCAACTCTGAATATGAATATGAATATATATTGGGTATATATAATATCCTTCAACTATGGTAGACTCCTAGCATAGTGTTACTGCTTTGTAGCTCTCATTTTAAAATGGTAAAAGAAATAATAATAATAATAATAATAATAATAATAATAATAATAATAATAATATACTTAAGACATTCATGTATTCTCTACATACATTCGGAATGACAGAAATGTGTTGAATAATTTACACAAACTGCTATGAGCTATCTTAGTCACACAGGCTCAGATAAGAAACACACTTATGTGTTATGTATGACTGCCCATTTCTACTAACTCTCTCTGCCAGTGTCATAGGAAAAGACCTATAGTTTTGACCTATAAATCCTGGCATTGTAGTTAATAACAACTATAATAACAACAATAATAACAACAACAATAATAATAATAATAATAATGTCACAAATTCCCTGTCTGTTGTAATTCCCAGAGCATGTGACCACTGCTTTCATCTTGTATTTTTTATTTACTTTTTTTTTTTCCCCCGTTTGTGCTTGTGCTTTTGTTTACATTGCTATGTGCCTTAGTATCTATTTTACTCCTGCCTCTGCCCTTCTCCTGTCATTGGTTTGTTACCCTATTGTGTTCACCTGTTCTGTGTTTGTACACTATGCAACCTTAATCACACAGCCTTAACCACCACTTAGTATACCATGATTCCTAATAATAATCTGTCATACAGCACCTTTAATCTCTCATAATACAACAGGCAGCACCTTTAAACATCACTTCTATCTCTTCATATACCACCTTTATTTACTCATAAGCTCTCAAATATCACCTTTAATCATCACTCATAATCATAATGTTTAGTCCAACGTTACCCAATAAACAGCACCTTTAATCACTCAAAACAGCTTTAAGCATCATTCACTACGACATAAATTTACCCTCTCAGGACACATTGCAGTTCCCAGTGTGACAAGCACTGCTTTCATGTTATGTTTTGGGTTCTCAGTGTTCTTTTTCTTAAATTGCTGTGTGCTTTTGTTTCTATTTTAGCCCTGTCTCTGCCCTTGTCCTGTCACTGGTTTGGTACCCTATTGTGTTCACCTGCTCTGTGTTTAGTCCTTGATTAGTTTGTCTATTTATTCCACACTGTGTCTTCGCATCTTTGCAAAGCCTTATCAAAGTCTTATGCATCTAGTGTTGTTAACTCTGGGCCTTGTTTCCATGTTTGTCAGTTCTTTGACGCTTGCCTGTGTCTCAGCTTTGATTGTGGACTATCCTTGTTTTAATTTGCCTGCCTGTGCTTTGGCCCACACTAAGAACCACGGTGATAATAGTTGTATTTGCAGTAGTAAAGCACATGCCGAGCAAATGCACATTACACATAAAACACCTTTTTCCACCATTCACAATCATTGCCCCTCAGCTAGCACCTCTAACCATTACTCATAATAATAACCACTCAGTTAGCACCTTTAGTCCCCATCAGACAACCTCTTTCACCATCACTAATAATTTCAACCCATTAGACAGCCTCTTTAACTTCCACTTTTAGCCCGTGAGCTTTAATAACTCATAACCGACAAGACCTTTAATCATCATGTGTAATCTGCTAGGTTCTAGAGAGCTAGATGAGAAATGATCAGACAGGACATTTAATCACCCAAAAGCTAACATTTTTTCTTGTGCGTGTGCTTCAGGTGGTCCGACCATACCAGACCATGTCGAATCCTCTAAGTAAGCTGACTGTCCTGAACAGCCTGCACTCGCACTTCATCCTAGCTGACAATGGCACCACGGGCAAGTATGGAGCCGAGGTTAAGCTTCGCCGGCAGCTGGAGAAACACATCTCTCTGCAGAAGATCAACACACGTGAGTCTCCACCCTGCTAGTTTCTAGTGCAGTCAGGCAAACGGCATGCTGGGAAAAAGTGATTATGCACTCCAAGGACTCATGGTGGATTATCTCTCTTGGGACAGGGCATTTTTAATTGCACTGTGTGTTGAGGCTTGAGATTCCTCGATGCACATTCAGCTATTGAGTTTAACTCGAGGAAATTATTTCACCTATTATGAAGGATAAAGTTGCAACATGACACCTTATATATACACACACACATATATATATATACACACATACATACATATACATACACACACATGCACATGGCTTCAAGCCACAGCAACTGTAATAGCCATTAATCAATATTGATTAAATGAAATGGTGAGAAATAAATGATCGTGGAATACACAGTATATCTGACATGAACTGACCCAGAGGGAATCAGCCTGTCTATCAGAACAATATCAGTTACAAAGATGTCAGTGAAGAAGTTGCAGTCAGTAGCAGATATCTGTGACACATGAAGGACATCAGTATTACAATCCAGTAACACTCACCTTCCACATATGCTTTGTTTAGTTCGTTTGAATTTAATCCTGGTGGGTTTTCTCCCTTGATGCAGGTAGTTTGGGCAGGTGAGGACACAGGAATCCCTCTCTAAACAATCCAACCACGAATCAACCCAGCTCCTAGCTAAAGGCCAGAGTTGTAGCACTGCAAATGCTGGGTTCTGGATATTTGGACTGATGAACTAAAAATGAGAAAAAAAAAACCCTGGATGTGATACACAAAATGTTTTAAACTAGTTATTTTAATCATTTATTTATCACTGTTTCCATGTTCATATCTATTTCTATCTCTGTTCTTCTGGCCTATTTATGATTTATGAGTAGGTTTTCAACACTGCAACCCCTTAGCCAGTGGTCTTTTGGTTTTTGGTTCCTTTAATTTTGCACAGGGTGAAACCAAGCCAAACAGCAAACGAATCAAGAGTATCAATTTCACTCTCTGCAAATGGACTAATAGGTGTGAAATCTCCTTCCGATACACAAAGACATTGGTGGAGAATACACATAAAATCTCTTTTTCAGTGTCATCCTTGAAATGGGTGATATTGTATGTACAGTTCACGTGGATGCTATAGGACTTTGGGCGTTGTCTGTTTAGTAGGACCTGGTGTTTTAGGGCTTTATGCCTTGTAGGTTCAGGTCAGGTGGGTTTTGAAAGTTGTATGTCCAAATTGGGTTGACATTGGGGTGATTAGCATAGACATTATGCTGCTTTAGGCTTTGTATATTTATTATGGCTGGGTTTTATAGGGCTGTAGGATGTTATGGGACAATGGGCCTTGTATGTTGAGAAGGACCAGGTGTTGTAGAGCTTTAGGCATTGTAGTTTTTCGTTCCCTGGTGGACTAGTGGTTAGCATGCATCACTCTGCTTGCCGTGGTCTGGGTTCGATTCCCGGTCAGGGAACCAACCCCAGCTGCTGGAGGGTTGCACAAGCCAGTGCACTCTCACTGCTGGTCCCAAGCCCAGAAATGAGGAGGGTTGCATCAGGATGGGCAGCTGGCATAAAACTTGTGCCAGAATCAAATATGCAGACAGGCGATGTGCTGTGGTGACCCTGAACACGAGCAACCAAAAGAGGGGGGGGGGGAAGGGTGTTGGGAGTTTGTAGGCCTTATATGCTTAGTTTGGGCTGGTACTGGGGGAATTAGTATAGGCATTGTGGTACTTTGTGTATTTAGTTTGGGTGGTGTTATAGTGCTTTAGGCCTTGTATAATCTGTTTGGGTTGGTGTTGGGGAGATTTAAACCTGAGAAGATCATTTCAAGTTGGTGTTGAGAGTCTTTATCCTTGTATGTTTAGTTTGGGTGGGTACTGAGGGGATTCAGGTCTTAGATGTAAAGTAGGAGCAGGTGATGATTGGCTTCAGGTCATGGATGTTCAGTATGGTTAGCCGTTGTGAGGCTTTAGACAAAGTTTTCATTCTGGTGGGTGTTATAAGGACATAAGACTTTGGATGTTCAGTTTGGATGAGTGTTGTGGGGCTGTATATTCATTCAAAGTAGGTGTTTAAGCCTTATATGTGCAGTTTGGTATGGTGTTGAGGGATTTGTACTGTATGTTTGGTTTGGATGGATGCTATTGTGCTTTAGGCCCTGTATGTTCAGTAGAAGTGGCTGTTGTGGGGCTTAAGCCATTATCTATTAAATTCAGGCTAGTGTTAATGGGCTTTAGGCATTGTGTTCTATTCAATTGGATGTTGTAGCGTTTGAGGCACTGGATTTTCAATCCATTAGTATTCAATTCAAGTAGTGTATGGAAATCATCTTTGTCCTCCTCATCCATCTCCACTGACCGCAACTAACAGCCAAGCCACAGCTCATACAGTTAATTAGGAATGGGACTGATGTCTGAAGTCTCTCCGATCCATTTGAGGAAACAGGAAGTGGTTATTAGGAATTGAGGCAGTGTTTGACCTCTTCTCCCCTCCCCAAAGTCATGTGACTTGTGGACTTCCCTTTGTCATCCTATGCCTGGGATTATAGAGGGGGCTGGGAAGGCAAAGGGACGTCTAGTTGTCACCAACAGCGTCTACGTCCATGCAGCAATCATGATAAATCATTAACGATAAATAAGTTAATAAATTGCTGATAAGCGTTCAAGCAGAACATGATCCTATCTGCTACTGGATATGAAAAATGATAAGAAATAAAAAGATCTCTCACAGGCATTCAGGAAGTACCTTTTTCATGTCTCGACATTCAGATGTACAGCAAGTGCAAATTTCCCATGATGGAAAATTTGCTGAAGCTGATTCAGTGTGGTGAGCAGAACCACACGCTGTTCCAAATATTCCACTCAGTGCTTATGCATACAGCCTGGTCAGGTTTAAATTATTCAAATAAATGAATGAGTTCAACAGAGATCTACATCGCCCCATGCTGGTACTGTTTATTCTGAATGAATGCTATTAAAACAAATGCACTATGAAAAAGTACCCAGTTTCCTCTAACGCAGTGCTTTCCAGAATGAGCAAAAATAATGTATAAAAATAACATACAATAAAATGATATTTTTAAGTAGGGCATGTTTTTCTAAGTGGTGTTTCATATTTGGTTTTTAAAAAATGGAATCCACAAAATTGGATTCAGAATTCAGGGAATTCACCTAAATTGTGCAACTGTAAAACTTTTTACCTCCTTCATCCTCTTCTCCCTCCTCCTTACTGTGTGCTCATGGGTGCAATTGTTGGCAAACTCTCAACTATTTCAGACATTTGAAACTTTTAATTAATGCCCTAATTGTTATTAATGGTATTTTTTAACTGCCTATTCATTTTTAGATCAATTACCTGATCTGTGCAGGTCAACAACGATCACTTTTGTCTTGCAAGTTCTTTGGTTTTCCCCATGGTAAAGGTAGACAAAGGGATTTTACATGTGTTCAACATCATATCTATACTTATAGAGAAACAGGACATGATTAAAAGCAACAACAGAGTTCATGGGGACTGACAGCAAATGAAAAATAGCATGAGAATTCGTTTGAAATATTCTTAGGGGTGTCAGTAATTTTGGCACATACGTTTTTGAGAAAAAAAAATCATTCAATCATTTAAAAAAGCTATTCTAATGAGCAAGATTTTTTGTTGTTGTTAGAACAAAGATAAATAGATTCTCATGTAAATTGAGTGGAAATTTTTAATTATTGCGTGTAATTTATACGAATCAGTTTTGCTCGATTTTATGAAAGGTGTAGATATTTCTGGAAGACACTGTGTGTCCTAATTTCGCTGAGTGACTCGCATCCCTGGGGCATCAACGGTTTAATCTGAGCAGCCGATTACAATTTTAATTATGTGGCATCACCACTAATTTTCTTTTCACTTCTTTGGTTCATCATTCTGCTTGGCGTAAAACACAGGTTTTAAATGCACAACATAATGACTATTAGTTTGCTAATAAATTTGACTTCTTGCTGTCATTACACAACAAAGTGATCAATGATGATCAATTAGAAGCTAGCTTGCTGTGAACTAAGCAATCTGTGTTATTATATAGTGTTATCAACATTTATACAAAGGAAATGTGAGTAAAACCAGACGTTTTCACTTTTCCTTGTTTTTGGCATTCTTGGCATCAAAATGATATTAAAATATCTTTTGATACTTATCCTTGGTATGGATGTGTAATACAGTAAAACATATAACCAAGCAAAGCATATGTTTCAAACACATATTTTAAAAAAAAAAGCACAGGAAGTGACCTCACTGTACATAGCTGATAAACATAATTCGAAACAATAGTGAAGAACCATACGCTATGTGGCTCTTTTAATGTGATTTAAGTTGCTCAGTTGTTGGATTTTCCCTCAGGCCAGGAGCAAACTTGCTTTCAGAAAAGAAAGTGTATCGATTTCCGAAAGGCATAGCACAGCAAAACAGTTGGATCGCTGAAGTGAATAGAGACAGCTGCATACACACTAACTCCAGCATCTATAACACACATTTGATCTCAACTCTTCTGAAATATTACACGCTGAAAAGTGGCACTGTTGCTCAACAAGTCATCGACATACCGTATCAGGGTCTAACAGACATTTAAAACCAGAGATCGATGCAATTTGCATGTTGTAATTGAAACAGGTGAATACTCAGCTGAGCAATGAGCTAACTCACCAGCAAACGACATTATAAATACAATTATTTCTTACCTTTCTGCTAAGAAAGCCATTGTATGCATCCAAACTCTAATAAGAAAACGCCAATAATTCAGGTAACTGTTTGTTAAAAAAAAAAAAAAATACAGTTTTCTTACATTCTTATTCAAAGGAACAGGTAATAACTCATTCATTGTTCATTTTTGACTATATCTTGTTTGTTCCCTTTTCAAAAGACTCAAGAAATATGAGCTAGTCATCTTGTTTTGAAAGCTTTACAGTTAAAAACGGAGCCTTTGGAAATGAAATATGAATGGACATGCACAGTATTGAGTTCCTCCTTGAAACAGTCTACAAATGCATTTTGCTTTAACAGTCAAAAGTGTATTCACATCATAATACCGATTCGCTATGTTTACTATCAAGTTATATTACAATACAATTACAATGGCGCTCAACTCTGTTTAGAATTCATGTAAATCTGTGTGTGTAACTGAACATAAAAGAATAAACTATTTTCATTCTAAGAGCTTCGCAAAGGCTAGTAGTGGAGTTTTTGCGATTGGCTGATTAAGTTGAACTAAAGCTCCGCCCTTGTTGACCCAGCGAATGTGCTTTTCCATGCGACATCATTTCAGCACCACGGACAGCTCAAGACTGTTTTATTTTCTTTCATTTTATTTCAGAAAGTTTGTTCTAATAAATTGGGGCCACTGGCAAGACCTGCTTTTATTTTAGTAGTTAATATATTTGTGAGCTGTCGTCACATTTTTTTTTTACCAATATAGATGCCAAAAATGTTTGTACTTATTCACTGAAAGAACTGATTTTATGGCTGTCGTGCCATCAGGGTGCCAGTCTTTCTAACCTAAAACCTGCTTTAGGGCTCTGTGTGATGGTGGCATCTGTTGCTCCCTTGGCTTTAGTGGACTATTTCTGGATATCATTTCCTGCCGCCTCCTTTGAACGTCTCCTCAGCGGGTTGTGGCATATTGGCGTAATTCCCACTGTACCATATGGGGATAGCCTTCTGGGTACTCTCTCGCTCTTTCTCTCTCTCTCTCTCTCTCTCTCTCTCATGGCTCTGATATATAAATGCAAATTATCAATGCATCCATCTCTGTCTCTATCTTTCCTCACCCCTGATGCTCCATTAAAAAGCAGACAAAGTAAAAATTTGATATATCGATTGGAATGATTAGGGATTATTTCAGTCTCAATGTACTTATTCAGTTGTTGGCACAGAGCATTCATTCCTTCATCTGCAGCACCAGGTGGGAATGCACCCTTGATGGGCCGCCAGTTCAACACAAAGCACTATGCACACACACATTCACACCTCCAATTTGGAGGAGCTAAATCACCTGCTGGTGTGGTTTTTTGTGAGGTGGGAGGAAACCAGAGAACCCAGAAGGAACCTTCTGGAGGTAACAGTGGACAGCAGAATTTCCAGAGATAAGTCCTTGGGAGGAATCAAGATTTAAAAAAGGGGAACCTATGGGATTACAATACAAGTCAATGGAGGGAATCATTTTAATTAGACTCAAGATCCCTAATATATGACAAAAGAGTTGCTGTTTTATAGAGACAGCACCCCTGTGTGACTAATCAATATACTCCTTGCACTATAGCAAAGAAAAACCACATCTATCTCTCGAAGAACTCAGACGCTTTTTTGACATTGTGTCCTTGGCAATGTGCCACTGTTAAGGTGTTGGTGCTTCACAGTAGCACAGTATCTTCATACAGGATATTTTTTTAATCGCAAACATGAGCAAAAGTGTTGCACTGTACAGCCTTGTGATTAC